TACTTAGGAAGTGTGAATGAACTCATAAGAAACATGAACAGTAGATAGTACAACACAACATTCATATTCTGTATAGGAAGAGAAACAAACAAGTCGTTTTCAATTTTTAATTTTTTGCTGATTATCTATAAAAACTTGCCAATTTATTACCTCGCTATATTAATTATTCCGGCTAGTATTACGGCTAAACTTGAAAGGATCCAACGTAAATTCCTTTGGGGTGATGACAAAGAGAATACGAGATACCATTTGGTGAGGTGAATTGATGTGAAGAAGCCTATAGCAGAGGGGGGTCTTGGCCTTAGATCTATTGTTGAGATGAATTGTGCACTTCAAAGCAAATGGCTGTGGAGGTTTGTCAACGAGGAAGGAAAACTTTGGAGAAGGGTGGTGGAGGTGAGATGGGGGGAGAAGGGAAAATATAAACCACACGGGATGATCTTTGGAAGAAAATCAGTAGGGGTGGCAGTAGGCTTTTGGAGTGTGTCGGGTGGCATGTTGAGAATGGGACGGGGATTCAGATTTGGCAGGATGAATGGTTGGATGAGGGTATGTGTGGGGGGGAGAGGTTGGAATGCGAGGGTTAAAAGAAACTTGAAGGACTGGAAAGTGGAAGAATACTGCAATCTGCTCAGTTGTTTGACTGATATTAAGCTGAGGGAGAATGGAGACAGCAGATTTTGGAAACTTGACAAGCAGAAGGGCTTCTCGGTATTCATTTTACAATTACTTACGCAAAAAAGAGGGAGATGGTGTGCTGACAGCACCTTGCAATCAGATTTGGAAATCAAAAGCTCCTCCCACAATGTCTTTTTTTGCTTGGGAAGCTGCTAGAGGAAGTATCCTTACTATTGATATGTTGAAGAGGAAAGGCAACATTTTGGTAAACAAATGCTATCTTTACAAAAGTGCTGAGGAATCATGCAATCATCTCTTACTCAATTGCCCGGTCGTTTACAATATTTGGACAACTGTCTATGGGATTCTGGGGTTAAATTGGCTTAGTGCGGATCCAATTGGAAAGGAATTATGAGCGTGGTCGGGTATATGCAAAAAGAAAAAATATTTATTCTTACTTTCACTTACCATTCTTTGAGTTGTGTAGAAGGAAATAACTACGAGAGTTTTTGAGAATATAGAAACTGACTTTATAAAAATTAGAAATAAATTGATTAACGTTTTTTATTTTATTTTGTTGGATCATGTCATGAAAGATTGGAATGGTCATTGACCACTTAACTGATATATAATTATTTTGTATACGGGTGGTACCCCCTTAGTACTGTTGTCCACAATAATATACTTCTCTTTTATTTCAAAAAAAAAAAATTTGCTGATTCTTAGAGGTGGTTAATATAGTAATATTGTTGTTTATACCACTGGTTGAAGTGCAACTCCTTAACATCAGTCAAGGTTCTCGTAGAGACATGTTGAGGATGGGGTACCAGCAAATATAGCATAGTGTAGGCACAGACAATGAAAGTCATGATTCAAGAACTAGGAGCTAACTTAGTATTTAATCCCTATTATTATCCATGTTATGGATTGTTGCAATAATACAGGTAGACAAATTGTGTCTCAAAAAGGAAGAGATGAAAGGGAGTATCCATAAGGTGCATAGGTCACAAGTACCTGTGTGTAGTCTTTATGTTTTCAGGTGATTCACGTCTTTGTGTGGAGCTTAATGTCTCTTCTACGCCATCCCGCAGGCCTAATTTAGAAGGAAATATATCAGTGAAATATAAAGAAGCTACAAACTGTCTGCATGTGGCATTGTTCTTAATCATTTCAAACCCAGACATAGGGATCTGATCACTGTATACTGAAAAAAAAAAAAAAAAAAGAAAGAATGGGAACCATGTGTTGCAGAAAAGTAATACAATATATTAACTTTTTCAGTAAAAAGAAAGAATAAAAGGAAAAGCACCAATCATATTAAGAAAATAACAAACCATCACAGAAAACCAACACACATATAATGGTAAATGTCAGTTGCATTGAGGCAAAATCAAAAAAGGACAAGATTTAGAAGAAGCACCTGTTGCTCCCTCAGTGGTTCGATTTGCTCCAAAAACCTTCATTAAGATAGGAAAAAAGTTATGACATAAGATGATTTATATAGTAAGTGTCAGATTACTGTGACATAATTCAGGAAAAAATTGCCCACAAATAAAATTCCAATAGGATAGCATGAACAGATGTACCATAACAAATGTTTAAGCTCATTCTTAGATCAGTTACAGTCAGAAAGACAAACAAATACAGAGAAGAGAGGGAAATATGGGCGAAAGCATAGCTGCAGAGGAAGATAGCTGAATAATCTCCACCACAACTCAAAATACCTGATTATGTTCAGAACTGGAAATGGCTGGATTTTGGAAGCTGTTATTTTGCAGCCCGTCTTGCATCATCTTTGAAACTGAAGCACCAAAAATGAGGTTTCATGTCTTATATCACGTATGTGTTAAAGTCAGAATATTCAGGAAAAAGGATTTATTTAAAATATCTGAGCATCTGCTCTACTATAGATGCCAAGAAATTAGTGAAATTCACCATGCATATATTAAGAAGTACCTTCAGCAAAATTTAAAAATCCATCCCTGGGTTTTGCATAGCCAGGCATTTTATCTCCTACAACAGCTTCATTTTTATTCCCTGCTAAAGAGTTGAGGCCACTTCTGTGTTCTAAAGAGAAAGCAGACCAATCAACTTTTGAGGATGGTAGGTTCTTTAACATCTCTTCTGTGGCCTTAGACCTCACTCTTCGTAGCTCCTCCTGGATATTCCATGAACCCGCAGAGAGGAAGTCCCTTTTCAGCTGCACTCAAGCTTAAGCATGTCAACCAAAATGAAACAAGGAGAACACTGGATTGATACATTTTTTTTCACTTATTTGACTAAATTATTTGAATATATACTACAGAATAAACAAGCATACATGATAATTTTTTATCCACGCACGATTGAACAGAATAACGTCCTGGAATATCTTTACATATCAAAGCATAAGAAAACAAAAAAGATGGTCTGAGAACTTTTAAGTCCAAGAAAAGCTACATCGTTAGTTATCAATCTGCTTCTTTATCAACATCATAATTTTTTTCCTGTTCCTGATCCACAGCAGATAAATTCCAAAATCCCAGTCCATAAAAATGCCTGACATCATTCCAGTTGCAGCACCTACATAGAGCCACCGACAATAGTGCTCTTATCATACAGTTTAAAGTTTCAGAATCCAGAGATTATATCCCAATTTGCAATACGTGCAAAGATTTTGCCATTCTAAGCTTAATGTGGTCTCCTAGATCCAGATCCCATTCAAAGAATGCATATAGTCAAGAGTGATAAATTTATTTCAAAAAATAGTTAGGAGTGATTAATGGAGTACATAATGGGTTAACCCGCCCCTTCTCACCGAATTGGTGGAACCAAGGGGGACCATGGCCCTTCCTTGTCCCCTCCTTGGTTCCCATTCATTTTAATCTATTAGTATATAATAGATACCGTCCCCCTACCCACACCCCCACTCCTTTCTTCCACAACAAGTAGCCACAATAAACGAACGAGTACTTTTTTCTTATTCCTCTTAGTTTTGTAATATATTTATACATTCCCCTCTGCTTGGTTCCAATGCGTACACACAAACACATGCATCTATCAATAAAAATCACATATACATGATTATCTATATGTTATATAGCAAAGAGACATTAAGTTTGAATTCTAACAAATGTTTTCTTCTTAATTGCCCAATAACAGTAAAAATCAACGTGTATACTATGTATATTATATTCTGTACAGATGAAATTTAAAACAATCAACAAAAAAACAGAGATATATAAAATTAGATTGGTTGGCAATCCATCTTAGTGAAAGAGTTTAGCTCATATTAATCATGAGGAAAAACTAGAAAAACAAAAAGCTACTCACTCAAGCTAAACTAAAATTTAAATATAGTACACTTTGTTGTTAAAAAGTACGGTAATAAGTAACTCCAATGCAAGAGCTTTGACCTTGCACCCTGATTTATTTTTTGGAATATATATTTATTGATCGCCCTGTTACAACAAATTCTAGTTTCACTTTTACATAGACGGATAAAGTTATTAGGTAATGGCTAGGGTATAGGTAAGAAGTTGTTCACCGATAGGTCATGGCAGATACGGGTTACAGAGTTTATGCCCCCACAACATAGATATTCAAAATCCGCATTTGTTTGTATTTACGTATTTATCCCATTTATAGATCCTCACAGACTTAACACCTAGGATTTCTTTTTTTAAAAAAAAAAATTTCCTCCCCAATCTGTTTTGTGTTGTTCAGTTCCTATCTCTCACACAAAGCAGTTGTCCTGCACTTGCACAACCATAACCCAGACACCTCACAAGATGCCACAGCCTGCAAAGCTACTGTTTGAGGAGATGACGAATAGCCGTATTCGTTTCAGCCATCTTCTATGCGCACTGAGAACACGTTTCATAGCCATCATTCGCATTTGTTTATTAATATGCTCAGTCCAGATCTACATTTTGTATGTTTGCTTTTTGAATGACTATTTTAACAGTGAGTTGGTGACCATCTAAAATCTGCATCATGGTTATTTTTGTTTTCTTGCTTTTTATTTCTTATTTTTGTAAAAGAAACAGCTATATTTTGATGATATTTATATGCAATATATCTAGAGAGAGAAAGAGAGGTGTCGACGATTGTCATAAAATTGTGTCTAACTCTTATAATATTGACGGTTCACATCATGTCCTGACCCTGATGAATTTAACACCAAATCCTCTTCCTTCAATATCCCACTATCAAATTCTTCTTTGCTTTTGTCCGAACTCGCTATTTCAGAAGCATCTTCCCCTCAAATGCTGATATATAGGTTTTTTGTTTTGGGTAAATATGCAGGTAGACAGAGTGGATTTATTTGAAGGTAATGAATGATCGGTAATAATGGTAAAAATGGGTGATGGGTGGGTGTCGGATAAAAGGATTCACCAGTATGGTGGGTGCCAACACAGATAACAAATATAATTCATACCCACACTTGCTGTAGGGCAGCTGTGCACAACTCTTTATTTTGCGAAGCAGGTATAGGCTATACTAGATCCAGCCCATAACCATTGACACATATAGCACAACAATTAAATAGTGTATACTGCAAGATATAGATCAACCTCTACCTTGGTTGAAGACACAGAATTATCACCCACTGAATATGGTGTTTCTTCTCCAAAAGGTTGTATTTTAACCGGTGATGGGGATGTAAATTCAATGTGCTTTATAGACGGAGATGCCCATGGAGGACGCCTTTGCATGTACGATTTTGCCATATCCACTGGTGAACCCAGTTCATCATCAGTAGCCTGCATCATTCAAATCAAATTATAATATTATATTCACTTATAGATCCTAAATAACTGCTATCAATGTTACGCACAGATGAAGCTTAAAACAACAAAGTTCGTATTTCAACGCATCCTTTGTTCCCAAACTTCCACTTTTTCTACTAATGAACAGAGCTTTACATATGGAACTATAGGAAGAAACTTCCTTGACACAAAATCAAAGCATTTTAGAACTGCTAAAGATGTGCACCTAGACAAGAGAAAGCAAACCAACCCCTAAATCCCCCCCCAATCCCTCCCCAAACAAAAAAATAAATTAAAAAAAAATAAAAACTGCTG